ACTGCTGCTATTTTGAAATAGCTCTTCTCCAGGGCTATTCAAAGTAATTACTCCCCAGTGCCTCCTGTGACTCCTCAAGGTAGCACGTCCACATTAGAGAAACCTGCCTCGGACTAATTTTGAGGCTTCCCTGTAGTATAGGCTTGCTATTTCAGAGTATTTCTTCCAGAATAGCTTATTTTGAAATAAGCATGCTGTGTAGATGTACCCAGAGTGGATCCACAGATTGCTTTGAGAAACACTGTTCTATGCTGCTTTCTAAACTGTTGACAAAGATATTGAACTTAATCAGTTCCACAACTGACCCCTGCAGAACTCCACTTGTCATGTCCTTCCAATGTGGCTGTGAACCATTGATAACTACACTCTGAGATGAACCCACCTTTATAGTAGCCCCATCTAGGTTGTATTTCCCTATTTTACTGATAAGAAGGTCATGAGAGACTATATCAAATTCTTTACTGCTTCCCCTCATGCACAAGGTTTGTTATCCTATCAAAGAAAGCTGTCAAGTTGGTTTGACATGATTTATTTTTTACAAATCCATGCTGTTACTTATGACCTTATTATCTTCTATCACCTTTTTTTCTAATTTTTTTGCAAATGGATTCCTTAATAATTTTCTCCATTATCTTTCCTAGTAGAGAAGCTGACTGGATTGTACTTATTTCCCCTTCCTCCCCCATTTTTAATAGATGAGCACTCTATTTGCCCTTTTCCAGTCATCTAGAATCTCTTTGGTCAGCTCCTTGAGTATTATAGGATGTGTTAATGTGTTCTATTAAATAGCTGCTACATCCTACTCTGGAAATAAGTGCATTTCAGTATGGGTGAAATAAGAAGTGGAGTAAGTTTTTTTTCACAAGTGCCTATGTGACTTAGGAACCAAAGTTTATTTAAAGTGAGTGAAAGTCAGTAGGCTTGAGGCTTCCAATTGCTAAAATTGCTGAGATATTTTGAGAATGTTATCCATACTTTATAAGTGAACAAATGGCATTTTCACTCTGCTACTTACAAAGTGGACACACTCAAGATCACCTTCCTTCCTGGAGTTTGGTAACTTTAATAATAATGTCCAAACATAAGTTTCAGCCAATTTTTTCCTATGGGATATCTCTGTTCTTCTCAGGTATGTTAGTAATAGAGAGGTTCCAACCACCTCTCGTATGTGCTAGCTGGAGATAATAAAATCCTCCTACAAATGTAAGACAGCAGAAATACTTCTGCATCTTCATACAAGTTTCTAGCAGCTAAACTTAGGCTGATTGAGGACAGGTACCTTTTCACCTTTTATGAAGGATTATCAAAACAATCACTCTGTTGCATTTCCCATTATATAATGGGCTGTTTTTGACCCTCGTTCTATGCACAGAACTTCCATTGAAGTTAAGCGGGAAAGGGGACAGAGTCTATACAAAGACTGAGGGTAAAATATAATCCATAGTTTATAAATATTTTCTTAAGGTTATTATACTTTAGAGCAATGACAGTAAATGTGACATCTTATAACTCCAACTTTTATGAGTTGCTTCATTAAATTCAACTCTGCTCTTATTCCTGTACTTTTGGCATTTTAAAACAGATACAGATATTTTCCTCACAGCTGAAGTTAAACTATTGGATCAATAATTTTATTTTTCTCCAGCATCCCTGGATTTTTTTTTAGGCTGTACATACTAAAATACTTTTACCCTGTACAATTGCAGGTACAAAGCAGGTTACTTGGAAAACTAGGCTTTCCATATTTCACTCACTTCCATTGTCTGAGGTCATAAAAAACCCAGGGAGAGAGAGAGAACAGCTAGTCAACCAGATATCTGTTGTTTTATGTTGGATCAGAACATTATGGCATCTTTCTGGTTGCTTCTACAGTGCAATTATTTATTGTCTGTCTTCCCAAGAAGCTGATTCCAACTCGGACTAAATAGCTGCTAATAGAAGTGTTTCTGAATCTATCCAGTAGATGGTCACAGCAATGAAAATCAGCTTAACTCCATTCCATACTTTTTGCTGTTAACTGATCTTACAACATCAATAATGATAAAGCAAAAAGATATAAGGTGCTGGGCTGGGATGTGTGTGTGCAGGAAGTCCAGCACTGATTAGTGCTTTCTCTTTCTACCCCAGTATCTTCCTCCTCTCTGGGGCTGTGTCTAGACTGGCAAGATTTTTGCGGAAAAACTTGCCAGCTGTCTACACTGGCCACTTGAATTTCCGCAAGAACACTGACTTCCTACTGTCTGAAATCAGTGCTTCTTGAGGAAATACTATGCTGCTCCTGTTCGGGCAAAAGTCCTTTTGCGCAAAGCTTTTGCGCAAAAGGACCAGTGTAGACAGCTCAGATTTGTTTTGTGCAAAGAAGCCCCAATCGCAAAAATGGCGAACGGGGCTTTTTTGCGGAAAAGCGAATCTAGATTGGCCACAGACGCTTTTCCGCAAAAAGTGCTTTTGTGGAAAAGCGTCTGTGCCAATCTAGATGCTCTTTTCCACAAATGCTTTTAACGGAAAACTTTTCCGTTAAAAGCATTTGCGGAAAATCATGCCAGTCTAGACGTAGCCCAGGTGTTGGGAGAAATCCAAGGGGTAGAAGGAGAATGGATTACTAGGACTATTTAGTGGGTTAAGGGGTTAGGTGGGGGCACTTGGGTTGATTGTCCCCCTCCTCTTCTCCGTTGGCTGCCAGGTATTCTCACTGCTGTGTGGGATGCTTTTCTGGAGATGTAAGCCTGATTTTGAAATGTTCAGGAACTTTGGCAGGTTGCCAAACTTTTTTGTGGCTGCAAGTGAGAGAGTGAAAGTAGCAGTTTTAACACTTTATATCTCAGCCAAATCTGAATGGAATTTCATGGGATAAAGAAAAGGCACTTTTGTAGCTCAAGGGAATTCCCCTTCTAAGCATCAAAGTCCTCTTGTCAACAAGGATGACTCCAAAAAAGAATCATAGGATCCACGCTAGTATAAAGTGCTAGGCAACTGTTCCTTCTATTGACAAACTAGAGCTTCTGTGTTGTTGACTCGCTCAACTTGCAGGTTCCGGAGACTAGCAGAAAAGACCGTTTCATTTCCCCTTCAAATCTATGAGAGTCTTTGGACAGCAGTCTGATCCTCCATTGGGCAGAGAATCTGTGACCGACATCTGCTCCTGTAACCTGACTGGACACTGATCCCAGGCCTTAGTTTGAAGGAGCACTTGTGGAGAGTTGTGTGGGGATGGCTCATGAAAGTCTGCTCATTCTTAGACTTTGTACAATTATTTTTATATTATTAATTAAGATTTCAGGAGTAAGTGGCTGTGTTGCCTCCACAAAGTGTGGCGCTCACACATCTTAGGTTTTCATGTACATGTCAGTTAATTATACACGCAAACAGGCAGGTAAGCACATAAATGCCTGCTTGCACACACATTTGAGATCTGTGGTTAGAACAAGTTTGAACAAGGAAAAGTTGTAGTGAATCTTATAAGACTTTTGGAGAGAGAAAAAGTACTCTCTAAAAGAAAAGGAGTAGAGTCTAAAGTGGTTTCATATTTCCTGTCTCTTGTACAGTCATCAAGACCACAACTGACTTAAACACTAGTTGGGCACTATTATTCTATCAGCATAGTCACACTGACGATGAGAAACAATCAATATTCTGTTGTGTGCCACCTCAGAAACTTTAAGGGCCCATGTTGAAAATGTAGTCCCCATAGTTTTCCATGCTTTTACAGGCCATGCTTCTTAATCAGTGTTATGTGAAGCAAACAAATATCAATTTTAATGTAATGTATATTGAGAAAATAGTATTATGATGAACATAATGCTTTAGGGCTATCAATTGATGTGCATTAATGCCTGTGATTAACCCAGGGAAGGATTAAAGTGTTAATTTTTTTATTGCATTAATCGCAGGCTTTAATGCTGCGCTGCCCTTTTGAAGCGCTGCTCCGGCATTTCAAAGGGGCAGTGGAGCTGGGGATCAGCTGGAGTGCCCCGCTGATCCCTGGCTCTGTGTTATGCTGCCCCTTTAGCACCGGTCCAGAGCTTCAAAGGGACAACGCAACCCGGAGCCGGGGATAAGCTGGGCACTGCAGCTGATCCCTGGCTTCCAAGGCGCTGCCCCTTTGAGGTTCAGAGGCAGCGCTTCAAAGGGACAGTGCTGCGTGGAGCCCGAGGTCAACTGGGGACTCCAGCTGACCCCAGGCTCCTGCAGTGCTGCCCATTTGAAATGCCAGAGTGGCATTTCCAAGGGGAAGCGAGGCACAGAGCCAGGGTCAGCTGGAGATTCCAGCTGATCCCAGGCTCCCATAATGCTGCCCCTTTGAAATGCTGCCACAGCATTTCAAAGGGGCAGTGCACACAATTAATCAAGATTAATTTTTTTAATCGCTTGACAGCCCTATAATTTTTATAGACTCAAGTTGTCCATTTACTATACTCTACACTATATAGCCTATATACTGTGGGATTATATGACATGTGTTTCATTTAGTGTCTCAGCTATATTGCTGCTGCCACATTATCAATTAGATCAAGCTTCAGTCTAAGCTTGAATATCAATACAGCAATTTTTAGTTCCACAGTTTGAGCCCCACAAGCCCAACTCAGCTGACCAGAGCCAACCACAGTCATGCGATGGATCGTTTATAGCATGCAAATGTATTCTCAAATGCTTGTAAAGAAAGGAACTGCTAGAATGTTCTATCACTTGCAAATAAAGCAAATTATATTCTCATTTATTTCTGGCTGGATTTGAGAGGATAAAACTAAATCTTGCATTATTATAATGGCTTGACAAATTTACATGATCCCAGTTTTGCTGCGGGCAAGTTAATCTAATTGGTAATGCAGCAGCAGCAGTACAGCTGAGAGAATAAATTAAACATTTTAAATATAATCCCACAGTCTTGAACGTGCTTGCAGTTTTGGCCCAAATATTGTTGACGACACTGTTTCCCTAATTTACCAATTTCATATGTGAATATGTTGCTGTAATTAAGATTTATTTTTCTTGTACTTCAGGTATACAAAGATGAAGACAGCAACCAACATTTATATTTTCAATTTGGCCATGGCAGATGCTTTAGTTACCACTACTATGCCTTTTCAAAGCACTGAATACTTAATGAACTCTTGGCCATTTGGGGATGTGCTGTGTAAAATCGTTATTTCAATTGACTATTATAACATGTTTACCAGCATATTCACATTGACCATGATGAGTGTTGATCGATACATTGCTGTGTGTCACCCTGTGAAGGCCCTGGACTTCCGCACGCCTCTCAAGGCAAAGATCATCAATATCTGTATCTGGCTACTCTCCTCATCGGTCGGTATATCTGCCATTGTCCTGGGAGGCACCAAAGTGAGAGAAGGTGAGTATAATCTTGAGCACTTTAATTCTTTTGTTTCTAAAATAATATAAAATGTAACATGAGTAAATTGGAGCCTTAGTCACACTCTACTAATTTTTGCATCTATTATAATTCTTTTCTAAGAACTCATTTCTAATATTTCATTATACTACAGCCCATTTTAGGAGGGGCCAGGGCACCTGTGTTATTTCCTGGAGGCCTCTTCTTTAGAAAAAACACCCTCTTTCGCATCCACACATGCCTTTTTCTGAAAAAGCTTTTTCGGAAAAAGTCTTCTTCCTCATAAAAAGAGGTTTTTTGCTGTGTTCTTCTGACTTTTGAAAGAACACAATAGCAGTAGGGACGTAAGTATTGTTTTTCCGGAAAAAACACTGCAGTGTAGACATACCCTGAAAGAATAATGTATTCAGCAGAACAGCAGTTCAGTTAGACTCTGCGTTTACTACTTTGCTTTACCTATGATTCATTTAAAAATATATTATTTCAAAGGGAATGAAGCACCTAGATTATATAGTGTTTGCACTGAAGAAATAATGTGGGAAAACATTTCTGTGATACAATTATCTCATTGCAAGACTGTCTCATGATGGCAGAAATCTCATGAGATCAACTAACCTCATGAGATTTCCATCATTCATGATGGTAGAAATCGACTGTTTTTGGGGTGAAATAGCTTGAAAGAAGCAAGAAGATTTCAACTTAATTCAACCAGTAGTGGAGTAAATAAGGAGGAAGAGAGGTAGGTGTGTGTGTGTGTGTGTATATGTGTTTATAAAACTCTTCCTACTCTGCAGGCCTTTGCAAGTATGTGTGTCAGCTTTCACAAAGGGCTGGAGATTATCTCCCTCTGCCTCACTCTTATCCAGGAGCGGTAGCTCTTCTTCTACATAGATGGGCTGAGCGCTCTACTCCAGGTGCTGTGACAGCATGTGCAGGGTTGTGTGGTTCAACACCACAGTGCCTGTTACTCAAATTTGGTCCAGTCAAACCTCCATCATGATGGAGAGTTATCCCAGCCAAACCTGAAAGGCACTGTGACCCCCATGCTTCAGGTCACAATGCCATTCAATAACATTTGATCTAGCTGCCTTTCTTTCATGGTGGTAGGGCCAAACCTGAACGGTGCTGCAGCTCCATTCCCTAGGCTTCAGTGGCCAGAGTTGAGAGCCAGGCCTTGTACTCTGGGACAGGAGCTATTGCTTCCCTGGGAGTTTGAGGCCTTCATCCCATCAGCAGCCCATCATCACTCTCCCAGCTACAAAACCTGGCTTTGCCTCATATCAAACTGAGAGCCAGAACCTAACAGCTCTTTAGTCCATCCCTATAGACTCCATTTTTGTACTTCTGTAGGTTTTATATCTCTCTTGTGTACTAAAGCTTGTATGTATATAATACATTTTCAAAATACTCTCCAATGAATCATTTAAAACAGCAGAGGAAAACCAGTTTCAATGACAAGCTCAAGCAATTATTGGAGTGATTTAATAATTCCATGTATTTGTGTCATGTTACTTGGTAATCACTTTTGCAAGCTTATACTGTAATTCAGATATGGGTTGGAATGCCTAATAGTAAAGAAATGTTCTTCTTCTTGCCCCTTCCATTTGTAGACACTGGGAGCACAGAATGTTCTTTGCAGTTTCCAGACACTGATTATTTGTGGTGGGACATCTTCATGAAAATCTGCGTCTTCGTCTTTGCATTTGTTATTCCAGTTCTCATTATAATTGTTTGCTATACCTTGATGATCCTACGCTTGAAGAGCGTACGACTTCTCTCAGGGTCTCGAGAAAAAGACCGAAACCTTCGTCGAATTACAAGATTGGTTCTTGTAGTTGTGGCAGTTTTCATTATCTGTTGGACTCCTATTCACATTTTTGTGCTGGTTGAGGCATTAGGGGATGTGCCCCATAGCACTGCAGCAATCTCTAGCTATTATTTCTGCATTGCGTTGGGTTATACCAACAGCAGTCTAAATCCTATCCTTTATGCTTTTTTGGATGAAAACTTCAAGCGCTGCTTTAAGGACTTTTGCTTTCCCTTTAAGATGAGGATGGACAGGCAGAGCACCAGCAGAGTCAGAAACACAGTTCAAGACCCTGTGTACACGAGGGAAGTGGATGGGACAAACAAACCAGTATGACTAGTCGTGGAGATGTCATCTTACTGTTCTCAAGGAAGAGGAGAATCAAATGATCTTGGGCTAACTCAAATAACCACTGTGGTTTGAGACATTTTTTTGTAATAATATTTAGGAACTGTCATAATTTGAACTAAAATACATTAAGTGTTTATGACAGGAAATTCCCCAATGAATTCCCACTCTATGAAAAAAGAAGACTTTGGCTGCCAGATTTTGGAGCCACATTTACAATGGAGTTGAACAGCTAGTAAAAATACCCATTTTCAGCAAAGAAGGAAGAGCTTCATACCACATTAGGTGACTCTGGACAAGAATAACATTGAACTGTTCTAATAGTATGGATCTGCCACCACCTAGTTTGTACCAAGCATCATTTGGTGATAACACTAAACCAAGTTATGGCAGAAACTCTTGTTTTGACCTAAAATGTTTGCTTCAGAAGCAAAAAGAAAGCATCTTTAAATACTTTGCTGCTTTCCAATGAACAGTATCAATTCTGAGCCTACAGAACATGGCAGAGCTATGTGATCAAAATTCTCATTAACTACTTTGTGTGAAATAATATATGTTAGTCTATAATCTGGAGATCCAGGTTAAGCATGATCTGCCTTCAGGCCAAAATTATTTTATTGTAGCTGTGTATTGTGAAAACTTTTCAATGTTCAAAATAAATCAAGTTGTAAAGATAATTCTTCATATATTTTAGCACATGTTAAATCACATACGATGCTTACTGTTTTATATGTGATTCTCCAAAAGATGTACATCTATTGATTATGGATATTACAGGTTTTTTCAGAAAAATGCTAGAAAAGTGCAAAGAGTTCTTGACTGGTAACTACATTTTTAAAAGACTTCCTCCTTCCCCCAACCAGTTTAACAAAAGATCCAGCAGTAAAAGAGCAAAGAGGCAAGGCTAAAATTAATATTATATTAGATGTCCTTGATATATATACCATTTAAGCACATTTTAAAAAGCAAAGAATGTACATGGGGACTGGTTACTAAAAACTGTAGTGAATTGACATAATATTCATATTTGAAAATGAGAATTAATCGTATTTATAAGTACCACATTCTGCCACCTGCTAGAGAAAGCTTTCAGTGAAGTTTTAGTCACTAATGCATTTAGTCTCAAAACAGTCTTATAAATTGAATAAGTAGTACTACCTCGATTTTTCAATAAAGGTGGGGAAGCCAAGGCAAAGAGAACTTATGTGACTTGCCTAAGGTAAATTTATAGCAGAGCTGAGAATAAACTAAAGGACTTCAAGTATCCCAGATACTAGAACAACCATACCATCTAGGATCTTAACCTTTACCCATTGAAGTTAATGGGACTGTTGCTGTGTGTTCATTGGGACCAGAGTTAGATACCATATAAATATCAACTCTTTGATTATTTTCATTATTTATAGTAAAGTTGAGAGATCCTCTATTACAGTGTATGGTATAATTCAACTGGAGCAGTTTTGTTGGTGCATTAAGCTGCCTCTTGACATGTATGACTTAAATAAAAATACACATCCAGTATTTGCAATAATGGGTGTCTAAATGTAGGTTCCTACATTTATATTTAGGTTCCTAAGGCTAGGTCTACTCTTACCCCAAGATTGCACTTTGGAGATCAGTCTTCTGTGCTTTGATTTAGTGGGTCTACTAAGGGTCAACTGTTGATGAGGCCCCCATTGTCTCCGGTACCCCATTGTGAGGAGTAAGGAAAATTAATGGGAGAGATTCTCCCATTGACTTTCAGCAGTGGGGACATCTCAGAAATTCAACTTAAGGTATGTCAACTCCAGCTACTCTATTATCCTACCTGGAGTTGTGTATTGTAAGTCAACTGGTTCCTAGCACTTTTGAAATTCATGCTACTTACTTATCCACAAAAGCATTTAAGATACTAACTTTAGGGACCTATTCTTGAAAATATTGATTACAATATCTGGTTAAATCTAACACTTATGATTGTTTCTACACGGTCAAATTTTTTTGGTGCTCTATTCTAGATGGTCTCTAGTTTGTGCATATTTTTCCTGAAATGTGATGCCCAGAGCTGGACTAATACTCCGGTTTAGGATTTATCATCATGGAGTAGAGTGGAAGAATCACTACTTTGTGTCTTGCTTACAATACTCCTGCTAATACATCCCAGAATGATGTTTGCTTTTTTTGCAACTGTGTTACACTGTTGACTCATACTTAGCTTGTGATGAAGTTTGAAACTAGAGCCCTTTCTGTAGTACTCTTTCCTAGAAAGTCGCTCCCCATTCTGTATGTGTGCAACTGATTGTGCATTCCTAAGTGGAGTACTTTGCATTTGTCCTTATTGAATTTCACCTTATTTACTTCAGATTATTTCTCCTGTTTATCCATTTTGAATTTCAATCCTATTCTCCAAAGCACTTGCAGTCCTTTTTGGCTTGTTGTCATTGGCAAACAGAACAGAATTAGACCCAGAACTGATCTTAGTGGGGAGAACTGATCCCATACTGACTGTTACTTACCAATTTATTATTTTTCTAAGAGGCTGCAAACTGGTTGCTTGATTATTTGCTCCATTGGCTTTCTGGGTACTTAAGTTAAGATGGTTGGTCTGTAATTCCCTGGTTTATCCTTATTTCCTTTTTTAGAGATGGGAATTATATGTGCCATCTTTCAGTTCACTCAAATTTCTCCAGTCTTCCATGAGTTTTCAAAGATAATCATTATTGGTTCAGATATATCCTTAGTCAGCTGGTTAAGTATTCTAGAATGTATTTAATTAGCCCTGCTGACTTGAGGATATCTAACTTACCTAAGTAATTTTTAACATGTTCTTTCCCT